ACTCCCGTGTAAACACAGCTCTAGGCGCTTTACATAAATGCATGTAAGAAAAATATTCATGCACGCGACACACACACACACACTCACACACACACACTCATATACACACAAACACACACACATATACATATACACACACACAAACACACGCATACACACTCACGAATACATAACACGCACACATGTATGCCAAACACACACAAACACACACACACACACACACACACACACACACACACACACACACACGTACACACACACACACACACACGTACACACACACACACACACACACACACACACACACACACACACACACACACATCTACTTGCTTATCACACGCACACGATTACACATCGTCACGAAATGAGAATAAAATAATATATACACTGCAATTCACAAAATACATAAATGGATACATAGACATTTACATAACATTGTACTGAACATGAATCTACTGACTTAAAAAGGATGTCATTAAATGTGTCTTTAAAGATTTTTTAAATTTAGACTCAGATGTTGTATGTCTCAAGGGTTGGGGAAGAGAGTTCCAAACTGACGGAGCAAGGTGGGCGAACGATCTTTCGGCTAATTTTTTACCGCCTTTTCTAGGAACTCGTAAAAGATACTGGTCGCCTGATCTTAGTGATCTAGATGGAACATAAATCTGGATGAGATCACTAAGATATGAGGGAGCTTTGTTATTGACACATTTATGACATAATATTGTAATTTTATATGACATTCTAGCTGACACGGGAAGCCAATGCAACGTTCTTAACATGGGAGTAATGTGGTCCCTCTTCTTTTTCTTTAGTACAAGCCTAGCAGCATGATTTTGAAAACGTTGTAACTTGTGAAGAGAGGTATTTGGTAAGTTAGCTAGTAAAGCATTGCAATAATCGATGCGTGAAAACAAGAAAGATGACACGAGCGTTTTCAACGAGTGTTCTTTCAAAAACATAGACATATGACCAATTCTACGCAATTCACAAAATAAAATGGTACATAAATAATTGATATGATGTTCCATTGACAATTTTGAATCAAAATACACTCCCAGATTTTTTGCTTTTTTAGTAAAATACAGTGTTTCATTTTCAGTACAAATATGATCAATGTCTACGGGGATATGACTTTTCTTTGGGTTACATAACAGAATTTCAGTTTTATTTTCATTAAGCTGGAGCTTATTATCAACCATCCACTTTTTAATGTCATCAATACACAGACCCATCGTAGTAAGCAAGGTTTCAACATCTGATGGTGGAACAGATTTATATAACTGTGTATCGTCAGCGTACATGTGATAATTCATATTGTGCTTTCTAATCACAGCTCCAAGCGGCTGCGTATATAACGTATACAAGATTGGACCCAATACTGAACCTTGAGGCACTCCAAAGCCTAGCTTAAAAATTGACGAAAGAGAGTCGTGCACAACCACAGATTGTGTACGACCAATCAGGTAGGACCTAAACCAGTCAAGAACCCTGCCAGACAGGCCAAACGTGTTGAACAATCGTTCAATAAGAATAGTGTGATCTATAGTGTCAAAGGCAGCACTAAGATCAAGAAGAGAAAGAATTGATATTTTGTTCTCATCTGCCTCACACAAGAGGTCGTTGTATATTTTCAATAGCGCAGTTTCTGTGTTATGAAATTGCCGATAGGCAGATTGATATAATTCATATAAATTTTTTTCTTTTAAATGATTCTTCAATTGAACCAAAACAACTTTCTCCAAGATTTTTGATAAAAAGGGAAGGTTGGAGACAGGTCTGAAATTCTTGAGCTCCTCCGGGGAAAGATTTGATTTTTTGAGAAGGGGAATAACTAAAGCATGCTTAAAGAGTGATGGTACTACTCCTGACTGAAGAGACTCATTAATGATGGAAGTTATAAATCCAATGACACTATCAAGATGTGTGATGAGCAGTGGTGTTGGAATGGGATCAAGACTACATGTTTTATGTAGTTTAAGTGGCACAAGAGATGAAGAGATACAGGCTGCACACTAGGAGTCAGGGAAACCTACTGGATACTGTGAGGACAGATGCAGCTCAGCTCGGGGGAAGAACCAGGCAGAGCCCAGTCAGAGATGAGGTGGGAAAAAGGCGTTGGCGAAGGATTGGACACACTTTCCGGAAGTCAAGCAGCTGCATAACAGGGAAAGTGTTAGATTGGAACCCACAGGGTAAAAGATCAAGGGGAAGACCACGTGGAACCTGGAGAAGAGTCACAGAAATGAATGTACGGAAAAGTGAGAAGACATGGAGTAACATCAAGCGACTAACCAAGGATAGGGAAAGGTGGAACATGTTTGTTCTTGGCCTATATCCTGATCCAGGGTGAGACAGGCAGTGATGATGATGATTTCACCATAAATATTTGAATTTCACGATTGAACACTAATAACAACAGTAATAATATCAACAATAACAATAATAATAACAATAACAACAACAGTAACAATGTCAACAATAACAATAATAAAAA